CCCCATCCGTCCACCCCTGCTTCGCCACTGGCCTTCCCTTCCCTTCCCCTCCCCAGTGCTGGTTCCGAGAGGACTCTAAATAAACGTCTGTATCTCAGAGTCCACTTCCAGGGAACCCCGCCTAAAATAAACAGGGAGGGTGACTGAGCTTGAATCACTAACTGGCCCTCAGGCGCACGTCCACCCCAGGCCCAGGAAATGCAGAGGTGCAGGGGTGGGGAATACACCTTCCCCAAGCAGGGCCAGGTCCCCTGACGTTTTACTCCACACCCGCTGTCTTCCTCACCTCGGAGCTCTTGATTCTCCTCCAGACAGCGCTGGAAGGTCTCCGGGGTGCCCTGCTCTGAAGGCAGGTGGAGCATGGCCGGCTTCCCCAGAGAAGACTCTTCAGCCAGCACGTCTGGGTCCCCGGCTGGGCCGCCGCTAGGCTGCACCATCTCACTCGGCTGACTCTTCCAGGGCGGCCTGCTCATCCAACAAGGCAAGCTCTGAAAGACAAAGCCAGCGGGGACCTATGCAGGATTCTCCTACCCTGTTGGACAAGGAGGAGTTCCAGGGCCATGCTAAGCAGAGTGATCAGTACTTTCCCCAGTGGAACAGGGTGCTGAAGTGGGCTTTGGGGTCTAAGAGGTGGCACGTATTCCCACTCCAAAGGGAGGTGCGGGCCCTTAGGCGGGGCTGGAAAAGGCCGTGGGCCAGCACTGGCTATAACTGTGCCGAGCTCTCTCGGGGCTACAAACTCAGGCTAAGAATTTGACCAGAGGGAAAATTATGGAGATTCTTTTTGGAGGGAGGTGTCAGTGTGCTGGGAATCCTACCCCCTACACACACCTCCAGGCAGGAGCAGAGGGTGCTGGCCCCTCACCCAGCACAGTAAGTTGAATGATGGCCCCCAATAAGATATGTCCACATCCTGACCCCCAGAACCTGTGAATGTGCCTGATTTGGAAAAAGAGTCTTTGCAGATGTAAAGAAGTGAAGAGTCTGGAGATGAGATCCTCCTGGATTATCCAGGTGGGCCCTGAATCCAATGACAAATGTCCTTCTAAGAGACAGAAGAGGAGAGACATAGACACAGAGGAGAAGCCACATGAAGACACAGGCAGAGACAGGAGGGAGGCAGCCACAAGCCAAGGGACGTCTGGAGCCCCCAAAAGCTGGAAGAGGCAGGAAGGACCCTCGCCTGGAGCCTGCAGAAGCACAGCCCTGAGACACACTGATCTCAGACTTCTGGTCTCCAGAACTGGGAGAGGATGCATCTCTGTTGTTTGAAGCCGCCCCGCTTGTGGACATCTCTTACAGCAGTCCTCGGACGTTAATATTCCTAGTAAGAAGGGGTTCGCAGAGACCACTCACAACCTGATAACTGTTTCCTGGAACTGAGGGGCCGAAGGGGACATCTGGTATCTGACATGGGGTAGGGGTGAGGGAGCAGAGCTCAGTGGTAGAGCGCGTGCTTGGCCTGCATGAGGTCCTGGGTTCAACACCCAGTCCCTCCATTAAAAAAAAAGACTGACTACACGGAGGAGGAGGCTCTTCTCAATAGAAGTTTCCAGGAGTAGGCCTGAGCTACAGCCCGAAACCTGAATGCCGGATAAGCTCGGATGTTTCACTATGACACTGATATTTCACTGAACATCCTACTGACCCATCAGCAGTATCTGACCAACTGCTGATCCCTCCCTCAGCTCCCAGAACAGCCCACACTCCCCACACGTGGTGGTGCCCCAGGGCTCTGTTCTGGGATGTTTTCACTGACTACAGTCATTCCACTACTAATTCCTAATTCCATGCAGACTCCCAGCTTTAACCCTCATTTTCATGCCAATGATGCTCAAAATTAGAACTCTTTCCTGAACTCCAAACTCACACATCAACCTCAACATCTCCCCTTGGATAGTTAGTCAGCCTCTCAAACCTAACCTCCCTAAAACTGCCCTCGTGACAGTCCCCAAAAGTCAGTTCCACCTACAGCCTTCCTTATTACCAGCTGATGGCAAATCCACCCACCAGGTATCAGGACAAAACCCTGGAGTCCTTCTCGAGTCCTCTGTCTCTCACAGCTCACAACTCATCCATCTGTCAAAATGTATCCTAGACTCTGTCTGATGACACTAAGCAGCAGTGGTAGAGCACGTGCTTAGCCTGCACAAGGTCACAGTGATACTGTGGTTGTGTTTCTTTCAAAGTCATTTCTTAGAGATGCACACAGAAACATTTACAAATGGCGTCTGGAATTTGGTTCAAAATAATGACAGAAGGCGGGAGGATATAGCTCACCTAGTAGAGAGCATGCTTAGCATGCACGAGGTCCTGGGTTCAATCCCCAGTACCCCCTCTAAAAATAAATAAACCTAATTACCTCCCCCCTAATTAATAAAAATAAATCATTTTTTTAATAATGGGGGAACACCTAGGTATCCACCTGAAAGAAAACACATGTCCACACAGGAATGCTCATAGCAGCATTACTCCTGACAGCCAAAGAGTGAAAACAACCCAAATGTCCATCAACTGATGAATAAACAAAATCCAGTACTTTATGCTAAGAGAAAGAAACAACTCACGAGAGACCGCATATGATTCCATTTATGTGCAAATATACAGACACAGAAAGACTAGTGGCTACGTAGAGCTGGGAAAGATGGGGTGATGGGGATGATGGCTAAAGTGTATGGGGTTTCTTTTTGGAGTGATGAAAATGTTCTGGAACTAATGGTGATGACTGTGCAAGTCTGTGAATATACTGAAAACCAGTGAACTATACACCTGAAATCGGTGAATTGTGTGCCATGTGTATTATATGTCAATACAGCTGTTTTTGAAAGTAATGGGAGAGGATTGTGAGGGGTACAAATTATACAAAGGTAGCCACGAGTTGATCACTGTTGAAGCTGGGACGTGGGTACATTAGATTTACTATACTATTCTTTCTACTCTCATACATCCTTGAAATTTTTTATAATAAAATGATCAGAGCAGCAGCCTCTCTCACCTGGATTACTGCAATAATCTCCTAACAGGTCACCCTGCTCCTACCCTTGCCCCCTACAGTCTGTTCTCCTGACCGCGCCATAACAATCAGCCTAAAAGTAATTCTGATCACGTCCCTCCTCTCCTCAGATCCATACCCTGGTTCCTCATTGCCCTCCGTATAAAAGCCAAAGTCCCTACAACAGCCTACAAGGTCCTGCACTATCTGGTCCCCCATCACTTCCTCTCTAAGTATTCTCCCCTCGCTCACTTTACTTCAAGTACACTGGCCTCCTTACTGTTCCTTGAACATGCCAGGATTGCCCATTCATCCTCAAGTCACAGAAGTGATAGGAGGTCCGACAGACATTAATCATTTTGCAAAGTGAGGCACATTAGGTAAGATAATTTGGCTGCCAAACTATATTTGAGATCTTTTTATAGAACTTAACTACCTCAAATGCAGTCAAGTTAGATGAACAGAAAATATCTACGAACTAGAAGAGTCATCCACGAACTAGGGGTGTGGTCACACTCCGTGGTGGCACGGGACGGAGAGACGGAAACAGTCCCGTCCGCCACCAAAGTAACCTGAATCCTGCACCGGCCCGCCTCGGCCGATGCTCTAGAAGCGGGCGGCAGAAACGGGCCGGGGCCCAACAGGAGGGGGAAGCCTGGTCGTCCGGGGAGGGGTCTCGGAGGCGGCGGAAAGCCCACCGGTGGTACCCTGTCTTCCAAGAAGAGGACCACACCTGTCAGCAGAATCGATCCGATGTGAGAAGGGCAGGAGCGGCGGGCACCGAGCGCTCCTCGGACCCCGGCGCTCCGAGAAAGTCCAGGTTCCGCAGTCGCCCTTCCCTTGTCCCGCTGCCAAATTCCCAGTTCCGGCTTCCGGTGTCGTAGCTGTGGGATCCGGAAGTAAAACACTCAAGCCCCGCCCCCACCCTGGAAGCCGGCGAGAGGTGCGAGGGAGGCTGCCCCGGACTCAAGCCCGAGCCCGCCAGCCTCGGCTGGCCAGCAAGATGCTCCCCAGTAATATGCGTCGCGACCCACACTCCTCCTTGTCTGTCCGGCGGTGGCATCCAAGCACCCGGTGCTTGGCCGCCCTGCCATCCCGCTAAGGGCGGAGCCACGACGAAGCTGTCTAATAGGGCCGCTTTGACCTGAACGAGCGACCCGTCCGGCGAGGAGGTGGGGCCTGCAGAGGGCCCCGCCCACAAAGGGGCGTGGTCACGCTGCCGGCGGAAGTGGGGCCCTCTGCGAGGTCTCAGGACCGCCCGGAGCCGGCGAGAAAGCCAGACTGTAGGGGCGGGGCCAGGCCGGGATGGGGACGCGGGCAACCGGCGGGGAACTGCACGCGGACTCGCGAAGCATCGGGGGCACGGCGCAGCGGCGGTGGGGACAGCAGGCTGCCCGCGCAGCGCCCGGCGCAGGTGCTCGAGGGGCGGGGCGGGACAAGGGCGGGGGCCTCGCACCGAGGCAGGCCTGGGATGCGCGCGCACCTTCCCGCGCCCTCGGCCCTGCCCGCCCTCGCGAGGGTGGGGCCCACGGAAGCCCCGCCCGCGCGCCTCGCCTGAGGCTAGTCAGCTCAGCCTAGGTGCCCGCCCCCACCGGTTAAATGAGCTGGCGGGGCGCAGACCCCGGAAACTGCCGGGGTCTCCGGGGCTGCGAGGGCAACGGGCTGCGGCGGTGAAGCACAAGTAACTGAGTGGGCGGGTGCCGCGTCTGCGGTAGGGCGTGCTGTGCTGCGAGTCACTTTGATTTGCCATACTTGGGGACTGAGCGAAATCGAAAACGTTTTAATCGATCTCACTGTCCCCTGCATTCCTCCATTGGACCCCTGAGGTGAGTGAGATCCTGAGAGGGACAGGGACTTGCCGAGGTCTCCCAGCGTGGTAGGAGTAGGGCTGGAGTTACACTCCATCAGCTGCACGGTTTAACATACTCCAGCTCCTTCTGCAGTTTCCGCCCGAATCCCGAGTGAGATGATCCTAGGCAGGTCTTGCGCTACTCCAGCAGGCTTTTAGTTCAGTCCTCCAGAGCTGAGGCTCTAAGCTGGAATGCACTAATGTTTTAGGTGATTTTGTAACATACACCGTGAAAGAAGGCAGCCTGGGGAGTATGGCCAGAGCCCAGAGCCTGCAGTTTCTAACTCCTCCTAACCATCCTGCTCCCCATCTGTTCACAGCAGCGTGGTGTCAGTAATCGGGTGTCAGCTGGGTGAGAGACCAAGGACCGCTCCAGAAAGGGGCCAGCTTCTCAGTGCTCTTCTGTTGTCATGCCTTGTCAACGAGTTTTTCTTCCAGCAGGAAACAGCATGGCAGAGCAGGTGGCTCTGAGCCGGACCCAGGTGTGCGGGATCCTGCGGGAGGAGCTGTACCAGGGTGATGCCTTCCATCAGTCAGATACACACATCTTTATCATCATGGGTGCATCGGTGAGTCTCCCACAGGCCCCATGTCCTAAAAACAGCAGACTTAGAGCATGACGTTACTTATAGTCTCTTCTCGGTGCCTGCGCTTTCCCAACTGACTGTGGTAGCACCCCTCGGGCTCTGCTCGGTTGGACTCTCCCTCTTGGTCCTATCTTTCCAGCGCAGCCCAGTGTACACACACAGTGAGGCAGTTCTGAAATCTGTGTGCAGCGATTGACTGTAGACCCGTGTCCTGGAGCTGGGAAGTCCGTAAGGACTGTCTGGTTGGACCTCCTCCTCCACGAGATGCAGACAGGGAAAGCCATTCATTCTGGGACTATGTTTTCCAAACCTATTTCTGACTTGACAAGTGTCACGCAGTCAGTTAGTGCCAGAGGTGGCATCTGAGGACCGATCTCCACCTTGTACCTCTACTACGTCCAGTTTCCCGGGGACAGACACTCACCCTTGCTTTGAACACTACCTCTCTGCCCCAACTTCCCAGGCCTGCCAAGGAGTGAGACCCAGCCCCCCATTTCTAGCCAGTGGAACTGCCTGTCTTTTCTGGTAGGAAAGGCCAGAGAGTAGAAGCAAACGCAGAAATCAAGCATGTTGACAGTACATGACGGGGTGGGGCAAACAGGAGAGGGAGGGAGGGTCCTTGGAGAGCCATGACCCCCAGACTGAAGCACTCTCCCCGCCAGCCATGTGGAAACCAGGTTTCGCAGGTTGCAGGAGAGCTGTCAGGGTTTCATGTCCAAGTAAAAGTGGTTTCCTCTTCTCACTTTTAACCCTGGACATGACCAAGAATCTGCTACCCCTAATGTGACCATCTTGGCCGGTAACTTCTTATATAAACTTTCAGCAAGAGTTCTCCCCAGCTAGTTCACTTGGAAAAGGAGAACAAGAAGGCTGGGCAAGAGGCAGTGGGAGGGAAGAGAAGGCCAACCCAGATTCTCCACTGACCCCCTATAACCCCAAGACTAAGGGGTGTCCAGGAGGAGCATATGCGGCAGGCTTAGACTTCACCACGGCCCAAGCCTGGTCCCCTGAGAATAACCCTACTTGTGTCGGCCACAAACCTTAACACCTGGGACTCTGACCCTTGGGACCTTCGTCCAAGAAATAGTTTGGGGGAGACAGTAACTCGGGGTTATTTTGCCTCCTTCCCCCATCCCCATAACAGCCTGTGTCACAGGGCACTCCCACAGAGGGTCCCAGGCCCCAGTAAATGGAATGTGACCCTCAGCCCACAACTCTTAGACACCTCACTGAGAGCATCTAAGCTTGCTGTGTGATCTGGGGCAAGTGTCTTCCCTTCTCTGAACCTCATTGTCTCCTCGGGGCAACTGAGGACTTTTGAAGCAAATGCCAAGGGTCCTTGGGCTCTGCCAAGCTGATTCTGTGACTCCTGGCTGCCTTCGCCTGGGGCTAGCTTGGGGTTAGGCAACTTTGTATCTTTGCAATCAGGCGGTTCCCCTTTGCGCTTGTCCGCTCTGGGAGCAACAACCGGAGGCTTTCAGAGCAGACATGGGAAGTGGGCCGGGTGGAGTGGGGGAGCAAGAGCCTCCTAGCTTGTTTGTCTCTCCTGCTCAGTGGGGCTGGCATGGGGTGGGGGCCTCCTGGGCTCAGGCAGCACCTCAGACAACTCCCACAATATGCCACCTGTCCCGATGCCCTCTGCTACTTCCTCCTTCCTGTCTGAGGGAGACATGTGGTGCTGGGGCACACCCTCCCGGAACCAGCAGGTTCTCCGTTCATTCACCCAAGAAACAGCAGGCGTGATGGAGCCCCGCCCTCCCATGGGTCCCATGTGCGGGGGTGGGGCTGGGCCCCAAGGGGAGCTGGCAGCCCAAAAAGAGTTCTGGGTGGCACACGTGACCAAAGCCACCACTGGGCCTTCGTGTCCCTGGGACTCATGAGGAGGCAAGGCCCGCAGAGCCATCCGGCGCCACAGGAGCGCTCCCCTGCAGCAGGAGGAACAGCCGCAGTGCCCCGGGGGCAGGCTGGGCCACCCTCTGCCCCTTCTCGCGCCTGCTTCCTCCCTGGGGCATCCTGGTGCTGGCTCAGGGGGTTACCTAACGGACTTTGGTGACCACTGTCTCCCTCTCAGGACTGCCCCCAGCCAGGAAGGGAGTGCAAGTACTTACTGTCCCAGTCCAGAAAGCTCTGGAATGACAGCGTTGGGAGAGGAACTTTGGGCCTGGAGGATCGTGGCCTCCCCCATCTGCTAGAGGCTCCTCTTCCCCCCAAGGGAGTGGAGAGAGGAGTTGGAGTGAGAGAGAGACAGAGTCCACTCGGGCAGGACTGGCTCACTGTGGGGTCCTCAACGAGCCCCTCACTTCTCTAGGTCTCCATGTCCCCACCCAGAGCACAGGGGCCCTGGGCCAGACAGGCGCTCAGTCCCCATCCCAGGGATGGGCCCTGTGAGGGATGACCCGGCAGCCTCAGCCCCTCCCCTACCCCAGGGATGTTTCTGGGCCGCCTGCCCCTGAAGCTGATAAGATTCTTGCTGTGTCATGATGACACTGGCTCACCCCCAAAGGCTGAGTGGCTCACGAGCCCCGGGTGTGGGAGGGAGTCCCAGCCTACCACAGCAGCCCCCTAGCCCTCTCACCCCCATGGCTGGGATCCAGCCAAAGCAGCCAGAGGCTGGGCAGGTCCTTGGCCCAAGTGACCCGAGGGGGACAGGGATAGCCCACCCCTGCCAGGCCTCCAGCTGGCAGCCCACCTCTTAGGTTCTCTGCTGCACCCTCCACCCCGAAACCGTCAGAGACCAACTGACGGTTCATAAAACTGGAGACTGAGGTAAAACCCGGGCGGTGACAGGTCGTGGCCCAGGGTCCCTTTGCCCCATCTGGGCCAGATACTGGCGGCTGGGAATCTTAATCAGGTCCTGCTGCTCCTGCTAAGTCACCACGTGCCCCCAGGCGGCTCCCTCCCCTGCTGCAGTCCTCACGAAATGACCAGGTGGGAAGAGATGTGAGACTCGCCCTTCCCCCGCGTAGACACCTGCTCCTTCCAACACTCGGTTCTCAGGAAGGAGTCAGCCCAGGCTAGTGCCGCAGGCAGGCGTCCCCGCCGCCCACCATCGTCCCACTCTACTGGGCCTGGAGAGCAGCGAGCCCTGCTTCCCAGTGGAAGGGAGCAGCCCCCAGGTCCCCTGCCCCACACTGGTCCAGGTCCTACCTCATCTTGCCCTTGGGTGACTTGGAGCCCAGCAGGCCTCCGATTGCAGGAGCTGAGCTGAACCAGGTGAGCAGGTTCTGCCAGTAGCTAATCCCAAAGGAAATCGCAAGAGCAGAAAGCTTGGGGTGTAGGGCACGTGACTCGGGACAGGAGCCTGGTCCCAGTTCCTCGACATCTGCCTGCTGGAATTTGATCAGAAGCAAACATGACTGGCCACGAGGAAGGCCAGGGAGGTGGTGGCTGCCGGCTGTGGTTCTGATTGTTTCTCCCGGGGGCTGGGCCCCAGCCAGCCAGCCTTCTCTGGAGCATGCAGGGCCAGCTGACCTAAGGTAACATGGGCAGAGTGTCCCACTGATGGCAGAAGCCAGAGGCAGGCCCTAACCAGTCACTAGGAGAAGTGCCACCAGCGGGGGGCTACTAGGCGCTGAGGGACACAGGGGCCCAGACTGGGGATCGGAGCCCCCTTGATCTAGTTGTCTCAGGTTCGT